AATAATTAATATAATGAGAAACAATTAAAAGATATTGGTTGTAAGACAAATAGAAAAAACGTTATATCAAGAGAATTCAAACAGAAAACCAGAATTTCAATCAAACAAATATCATGGTTTGTGGAGAACAGTTCTTGAACTCAAATCACAGTGATCAAATCAATCAGTTCTCGCTCCATAGACTACTTCTGTATCTAATTCCTCGAATCTCAAATCACTTTGTGAATTCAATCAGTCCAGACAAGCTTTAAGAACATGTTTGATATGTTCACTAAATCTCTAAATTCAATCTCTTTGCGATTAGTATTTAGCTCATCATGATTAGTTCATACGATCAATAACACCATCATGTCTATCAATTATCCTATGATATAGATTATTAGGGTTATCAATCCAAATATAGCATTAAAAACAATGAAGATGAAGAATAAAAGATAAACCCTAAAATTTCCTTCTAGCAATTCATCAAGGCCTAGAAGTTGGATTATGTCTATAGTGAACTGAATGGAAAATTTGAAGCTTTTGAGCGCTTATGTCAAAAAGATGGATATTTAGGTTAACAAACTATCGAGGCTATTAAGAGGCAAAAACGAGCCAAATACACTATGAAAATGTTATCTTGGCAGAGGATGAAAAAATCATGAAATTCAGGTCGAAACTTAATAAACAAAGATGGTACCAAAACAATAAACAAGGTGTCGATCAACACTCCCCAAGAATCCCAAATTTTTGAGTTTGTAGAACTGAAATCAACCAGAAATTGGAAACTCTGACATTGAAGAATAGTGTCGATTGTCACCACTCTAGTGTTGATCGATAGTGCAAAATTTTGGCTTGTGCATACTCAACTTAAGTATAGTACATATTAACATCTCAAATTGATGGGAAATCTGAAGTTCTTAACTATTGTTTGAAACGTATCTAAGCTGCTTTGCCTCTTTAAATTATTGATTTTGGTCACAATTCTTGTGTTGGGATAAATATAGGTATGATACATCTTACCATTGAAGTTTTCTCTTTTTAAAGTTGTATATTGGCATGATCCTTCTACATTTATGAAGTATAAACATGGTTTAATAAAGAAATTTGACTTAGAAAAATCATTGAAGGAATGGGATGAGATATTAGCTCAATCAAAAGTGTTGTTTGCCTCTTTAAATTATTGATTTTAGTCACAGTTCTTGTGTTGGGATAAATATAGGTATGATACATCTTACCATGTCAATGAAGTTTTCTCTTTCTAAAGTTGTATATTGGCATGATCCTTCTACATTTATGAAGTATGAACATGGTTTAACAAAGAAATTTGACTTAGAAAAATCATTGAAGTAATGTGATGAGATATTAGCTCAATCAAAAGTGTTGTTTGCCAAAGCTCAATATCAGATGATGAATCAAGTGGATAAACACAGAAAGTATGTGAGTTGTTTTTAGGTGATATGGTGTACCTTAAATTGCTTTCAATTGACAACATAGTACACCAAAAGAGTAAGATCGGATCTGGCAAATAAGAAGCCTATCTCAACAAATTACTTGGTGCAAAAGAACTGCTTTTTGGGGAAAGGTAGGAAACTGCATTAGTCCAATATCAACCATTAATAAACTATATTATTCTGTAAACACTACAAAATAGATCAGTAGCTGTAAATAAACCACCAAGCATTACCAAAACAGAACACAATCATAATAATCAAAGGATGAAAAAACAAAACGAAAGGAAAGAACATAAATTCTGGTTTTGACTTACCAACCATGTGTGGGTTCGACGAACGATAGACGCATACAAAAGACCAATCCACAAGGCAGAGATTGCCACCATTAGGCTCAATATCTTTACTACATGTTTCATTTTTTAACTTCAAATAATAATGTTAATGTCAAAGGTGTAACATCCAGATTTGTGATATATATGGAAAAATCTTTACAGAATTGATTTGGCTACCTATGATACCAAAGTGAATTTATCTTTTCTGTCACACATCCGTTTACAACTCCAGAGTTAAGCATGTTTGAGCTGGAATGGCGGAAGGATGGGTGATCTATTGAAAAGTGATTTGTGATATCGTGCGAGTGAGGCTAAAGCGTGGGGGAACATGTGGTAATTACATGGTCAGTAAACAAGGGTTTTGTGTCTGTGGAAAATTAACATACCGCTCACCGTACATAATGGATCCCACATACCGAGTGAGTGAGCGTGCGAGGCCTATTATCAGTGGGCGGTTGGGGAGTTACAAGTGGTATCAAAGCTGGTTAGCCATCTCAGTTCTGACCTGAGAAGCGTCTTGCGACATTTCATGGTGCACAACTAGGATGTTGCGTTCTGTGAGAGGGGTGAACTGTAACATCTAGTTTTGTGGTATATGTGGAAATACATAAGAGGATTGATTTAGCTACCTATGTCACCAAAGTGTACTTACTTTTTTTTATCACACATCCATTTAGAACTCTATAGTTAAGTGTGCTTGAGCTTGAGTAATGAAAGGATGGGTGACCTATTGGAAAGTGATTTGAGATATTATGCGAGTGAGGCCAATGCACGACTCAGTAAACAAGGATTGCGTGCCTCCGAAAAATTAATGTACCACTTGACATATGAAATGGAGCATACGGGTTGAGTGAGTGGACGTGAGAGATCCATTAGCCGTGGGCAGTCGAGATGTTACAAAAACGTCAAGAATAGCCATTAGAAGAAAGAAATATTTGAATGTATGAATGATGAAAGTTGTAATGAGCATGTAAAAAGAATCACTCGGTGAGCCTCATAATACAAGATGTCATAAACAAATGAAAGATTTCACAATTTCCTCATAATACAATAATATGTCATAAACAAATGAACTATTTCACAATTTCAAAAGCTACAATTGTAGATCTCAGTAAAATATTAAATGTTATCAACATATAATCCTTCGACATCACATCTCCAAAACTGGTCAACAACTCAAAACCGTAAAAAGAGATCAATAATAAATTCAAAATTTTGTGTAAGTTTTCATTGGCCTACCTTACACACTCCAGACTCCACCATGAAAAATAAATAAAATTCAAAGCTAAATCTATGGTGAAGCAATATAAATCCCCAATAAATCAAAATAATTCTTTACTGTGCAATCAGATTACACGAGAATTGATCCATAGATACACAAAACCGAAGAATAAATTAATAAAGTACACTCACATATTACAAACGAGAGATACTAATCAATACAATCAGATCGGCAAATTAAATCAAAAGACCCAAGTGTGTTCACTCGTCTGACATAACAGCCTCACCACTTGTTTTCAACCGGTTTAAAAAGGTCGAATCTATATATCGATTTGAGTCGGTTTCAGATCCAGTTCAATTATATAATCATCAACACACATGATTTTACTTTTAATCCTCGTTGTTTTTTCTGAAAGCAAAAAGTCACAGGGTTAAAATGTCGTGGAAGAAGACATCATATTTTCAAAATGATCTTAGTTTACTGGATGTTCTATAGTATTTAAGATTAGATAAACTTCAAAATTAAAGTTTAGAGATGTTTCTCTTTCCAGGAAAACTTTATTTGATCAAGTGGATTGCGTTGGATAGAGGTTAACCGATGCTTTCAGCTTTATTTTATTACACTCGTACTCATCATCACAAGTCCACTTTCACTAAATTGTTTTTTCATTTCTATCTTTTTGCAAACATTTTTGTTCTCCTACTCTCTTTTATCCATGTATCTTCCGTAAAGACAGCGACCAATAACTTATCAAATGCGAGATAGACTTAGATCCCATGCTCGTTACCCATTTAACCCTTTTATACATATGTTGTGCTTATTGTTATATTATGTTTGCAGGGAAGCAATCGATACAGAAAATTTGAGAATTAGTACCTAAATATTCAGAGATAGTGAAGAACTAGGAATCTCAGAAAGTGAAAAAGCAAGAACCTCAGGCCACAACATCAACTTCTGGAACTTCTTCAAAGTCAGGCAAATGTGACAAGAAAAAGAGATGAATAAATAAGCTCTCTCACTCTTTCACATCATACTCTATGATATTTAATTTCATGAACTTATTGAGAAAAATGTGTTTGCAGATTTAAAGGTTTGTTGGTTTTTATCAATATGCTTTTTCAATATAACTGTTTCTTGGGAACATGTAAGAAACTGCATTAGCCAAATACTAACCATTAATAGACTATGGCATCCGGGAGACACTACAAAGTAGTTCGGTAGTTGTAAAAGAAACCAGCAACATTCTCAAATCAGAACAGGGTCGTAATAATCAAACGATAAAAACAAAACAAAAGAGACAAGCATAAATGCTGGTTTTGATTTACCAACCTTTTGTGGGTGCAAAGAACAATGAAAACATGCAACAGACCAATCTACAAGGCAGAGCCAACAAGCTCAGTATCTTTACTATATGCTTCATTTTTTATCTTTAAATAAAAATATTTATGTCAAAGGGTAAAATATGAATAATAAAAAATGTTATAGAGCATTACATCCTCCTAATATAAGAATTGATAAACAAATAAATATTTTACAACTTCATTAACTACAGTTACAAATCTTAGTTATTCAGAGCCCAATATCAAATGTTAGGACACCTCCAATGGAAATCCTTAAATGAAATTCCGTAAGAAAAAAATATATAATAATCTAAATACTATAAAACATCCGGTAAACTGAGATCATTTTGGAAATGTTGTTGTGATTATTGATATATGAAGTTTTGCAGAGAAGCAACTGATGTAAAAAGTTGCAAAATTGATACCTAGACATCCATCCATAGAGAGGGAAGAAGCAAGAATCTCAGAAAGTGAAGAAGCAATAACCTCATGCCACAACATCAACCTCTGGAACTCTTCAAAGTCAGGCTAATGTGGCAAGAGAGATGAAGAACCAAGCTCTCTCACTCCTTCGCAGCAGATTCTATGGTTTTTAATTTCTTGACCTTGCTGAGAACAAAAAAATGTGTTGCAAATTTAAAAAGATTTTGTTGGTTTATATGATTGGTTTTTACCTTTTTGCATCATAACATCAATAGACAAGTACGAATTATAGAAACAAAAGAAGAAAAAGACAAATTATTATTAGTTGTTACTTTTGCCGTGATGGCGTTTAGCACATTTTCTCAAGTATAAAACACTGATTAATTCCACTATTCAAACAGACACATGTAAGATCTCTTGCCATAAAGATCAACTATTCTAGTGTCGATCATTGTATCAGTCTGATCCGACATCGACGCCTTTATGCTTGAAGAAGTCCTTGGCCTCTGCAATATCCTGCAAGACCAGATTGTAAATAATGATTAAGCCAAAAGAGCAAGACCGGATTAGGCAAATAAGACGCCTAATCTTAAAAAATTACCTGCTGCAAAAGAACCGCTTCTTGGGGACATGTAGGAAACTGCATTAGCCCAGTACCAACCATTAATAGACCATAGCATCCAAGAGACACTACAAAGTAGATTGGTAGCTGTAAAAGAAACCGCCAACATTACAAAACGGTCGTAATAGCAAATGATCAAGAAAACCAAAAGAGAAGACCATAAATGTTGATTTTTTACACACCAACCATGTGTGGCTTCGAGGAACGATTGCAGCCTGCAAAAGACCAATCCAGAAGGTAGAGATTCCCACCACCATGCTCAATATCTTTACTATATGCTTCATTTTGATCCTTGAAACAAAGTTTTTTTATGTAAAAAGTGTTTATAGCCGCTGAAAGAAATGCAGATGGTTTTCATTCATTATTCTAGAACAAGTTGTAAGAGCATGTAAAATAAAAAATCAAACTAGTAAAACCAAACACGATCAACAAAGACAACATCTCCAAACGTGGCCAGAAACTCAAAACCATAAGAAGAAATTTGTCATAGCAACCAGTTGCTATTAGATGAGAATCATGAGATTTCGAGAAAAAAAAGATATCATTGTTCTGTCGGGCTACAGCATTCAGTAACACAAAGCGATCAATTATTTACTTGAACGACAACATTACGAACGAATATGATTATTGAAACCTTAATCCTAAGAAACATGACTTGTTAAGTAACTAGCTTACACACTCCACCACGGGAAAATTACCAAATCAAAGCTAAATCCATGTCAAATCAATAAAAATTCCAACAAATCGATCAGATCTAGACAACCAATAAAAAAAAAAAAAATCGAGGAGGAAACGAATAAACTACACTTACAGATGATAGATGGAAGATCGTAGTCGCGAAAATGAGATGGAAAGGGGGATTAAAACTAAAGTTGGACGGACAGAACAGGGCTTGCTGGCTCCACACTTGTATTTCGGTTCTCTGGTTTGTGATTTGCTTCACTATCGGTTTGGGATCCAATTTGGGCCGAGACTATTGTAAATGGGCCCAGGAAAAAAGTTATTAACTGAAACTGACGAGATGAGATCCTCGGAGCGACCTAGAAGGATTAGAAGCTTTTCGCGGAAGAAGAAGGCGTAAACTTCTGTGGGATCTGGAAGCTCTCTTTCTCTCTTCTTCCTTCTTCCTTCTTCCTCTGCTTTGTTTTTTTTTTTTTCAAACGTCTTTCGTTTTCCCGTTGCAGCTTTTTTGTTGTTGATCACCGACTCTTCTCTTTGGTATGGCCTCTAATTCTACTCCTACACACACTTTGGTTTTGTCAATTCGTTCCTTTTCATGGAATTGTATATGTGGTTGCTGTTTCAGTTCTTCTTCGTGTCTCTATGCATATGAGTAATTTATTAGCTTGACTCTTCCTCAGGAATGAATTGTGTTTCAATTTTGTTCCTCCCAGCTTAGGGTTTCTTGTGTTGATATTTCCACAATTCAAAGTTTTTCTTTTCCTGTTTAGTTACTCGTAACTCAAGAAGCTGTTGAGGTTTTTAGGATTTTGCTGCTGAATTTGATATGGAATTTGCAGAAAGTTTGCCTTTTTTTTTTTTTTTTTGTCGAAACTTCAAGTAGCTTAATTTCATTTTTAAAATGCCATAGAAGCCAGAGACCTCTTATATGATCATTGTATTGCTTTCATGTGACATATCATGTAGAGATGGAGGTGCATAGTTTGTTAAGCTTTGATTTGGATCCTGGCCCTGTTGATCAATCTGTGTTGGTGTGGCAACATGAGCATAGATCAGCTGCCATTTGGGAAGATGAGGTGTGTACCAGTTTTACTCTTTTTTTTCTTGTTTGGCTTATAAATATTGAATCTTTACTTTTAGGTTCCTCCTCGTGAACTGACATGCCGGCACAAGTTACTGGGCATGCGAGATTGGCCTCTGGAGCCTCTTGTGTGTCGGAACTTGATCGAGTTTGGTCTCTATGGAGTCTACAAGGTTGCCTTTATACAGCTTGATTATGCTCTGATAACAGCTCTGGTGGAGAGATGGAGGCCTGAGACGCATACTTTCCATCTTCCCGCTGGAGAGACCACTGTGACTTTACAAGACGTGAATGTACTGTTGGGTCTCCGTGTGGATGGACCTGCGGTAACTGGTACGACGAAGTACAACTGGGCTGATTTGTGTGAGGACCTGCTAGGTCTAAGACCTGGTCCTGGAGATCTACATGGTTCTCATGTCTCCTTGTCTTGGCTGCGTGATAATTTCCGGAATCTACCTGCTGATCCTGACGAAGAAACGTTGAAGTGTTACACTAGGGCTTTTGTGTTAGCTTTGATGAGTGGGTTTCTTTACGGGGATAAGTCTAAGCATGACGTGGCTTTGACGTTTCTCCCTCTGCTAAGGGACTTTGATGAAGTAGCTCAACTTAGCTGGGGTAGTGCTACGCTAGCACTTCTCTACAGAGAGTTGTGTCGGGCAAGTAAAAGGACTGTTTCCACCATTTGTGGTCCTCTTGTTCTGCTTCAGTTATGGGCATGGGAACGACTGCATGTTGGTCGTCCAGGAAGACTTAAAGATGTCGGTGCTTCGTATATGGATGGCATAGATGGTGCTTTACCAGATCCGTTAGGGTGTAGGTAAATTGAGATGTATTTAACTGTGTTCAGTTTTTTCTTAGTAGTTTAATAATTTCTATTTGTTTTGCTTATGAAACTGCTTGAAAACTAGGTGGAGAGCTTCGCTGAGTCATAAAGAGAATCCTCGTGGAGGACTTGATTTTTACAGGGACCAATTTGACCAGCAGAAAGATGAGCAGGTATTAAACTAATCGTTTATAGCATTTACAGTGTAAGCTATGATAGAGTGTAGTGATGGGAAATCCAAAATGATATTGTTTACATAAGTTAGGTAGATAATATTTATCTAAAGATCTCTGAAATGATATTGACCAATCATATAATGTGGATGTAGGTGACGTGGCAGCCATACACTCAAGATCTTCTAGCAAAGCTTCCTCTTATATGTCTTAGTGGTCAGAACGTATGGCGAACCGTCGCACCCTTAATTTGTTTCGATGTTGTTGAGTGGCATCGTCCTGATCGGGTGCTTAGACAGTTTGGTCTTCACCAAACAGTTCCTGCACCTTGTGATAATGAAAAAGCTCTTCATTCTATTGACAAAAGAGGCAAATCAGTGTATGATTGGTCAGCACGTCATAGTCGACACATTGAGTTGTGGGAGGCACGTGAGTCATCTGTTGTTCTCGGTGAGCCAGAGTGTTGCCCAATGGACTATAATGATCCTTATATGGAGTGGTACCGTAGAATTACTAGAAGAATTATTAGTCCTATGAACGAGAGGCGCCCTGGGCAATTTTTACCCACTGGTTTTGCTTTCCAAGTGCTTGTAAGTTATAATGATCAACATCATAGGATTCTACAACTTTTCTGTTTGCTTTAACTTCATTAAGCAAAATAAAATTGCAGGTTCAGAGAGTTGCAGCCATTCATGCCCGATCTAAGGCTTCGCTTGAAGAGGAGCTTACTGTTGACACCGCGAGGCAAACACTACAAGATATCGTGGATATGTGTGCAGGCGCCCTCCAACTCAACGCGCCTTTAGGCTCATTATCTAATGGTAAATTTCCATAAGAACTACTACAAAGATAATTTTTAGGCTACAGTTCCTTTTCTTATGTTTTCTACTTTTAGTGACTTGTGATGTTTTAGACTGTAACAAAGGAAGTAAGGAATTGATGATTAGTATATGAGACGTTCCTTTCTACTTAGATTATTATATATTTACTTGAATCAATCATGGCTTCATGATATGAATAATTAGTTTAACAACAGCTGCAGATCATGCTAGATGCTCGTGTTCCTTAACATGTTTTGTCGTGACTTATCTGTTTAACTTTGGAAATTTCTTTGTTATAGGTTCTGTTTCTCAAGCTTCTACTCCAGGACCATTTCTGATGTTACCTCAACCCACTCCTACAATGATATCGCAAAAGCCATTGTCTGGAGAAATAGTATGCTTACCTTCGAGTGAAATGGGAATAGTTGATGGTCTCTCAGCAGAACCTTTGGAAGGAATGCCACCTGTTCAGGATATAGGATGTGAGCAGTCTTTACCATCAGTTTCCCAGAAACCTATATTCTGGCCTACGGGAGGCAAGCTTACATTCAGTTGGATATGTGATGTAATGCTCGGCTTTGATTGGTCGTCGAGGAATCTCCCAGCTTGTGAATTCTCAAATGTTCTTCCTTTCAACGTCTTGGACGAGCTGGTTCTCTCTGCTTCCAAAATCCTGAAAAAGGAGCCAAACTGTGTTAGGGTAGATAGTAACAAAGCAAAGGTCGTTGTGGTCGGAGATCTTCATGGGCAGCTACATGATTTGCTGTTCCTTATGCAGGATGCAGGATTCCCAAATGGTGATCAGTTCTACGTGTTCAATGGGAACTATGTAAACAATGGAGCATGGGGGTTGGAAACCTTCTTACTTCTTTTATCATGGAAGGTAAGTTTATCATCCTTGGATTTTTGTCACTTTTTCTGATTTCAAAGGTAAATTAGCAGCTAGTATTGTTCATCCCCTACATATCTAATTGTTGGCATTTTATTTTTCTAGGTTTTTCTACCGGATAGAGTGTATCTTCTACGTGGAAGTCACGAGACCGAGAGTTGTACATCACTGTATGGATTCAAAAATGAACTATTAACCAAGTATGGAGATAAAGGAGCAGTTGCCTACAAAAAGTGCTTGGAATGCTTCCAGTTTCTCCCTTTGGCATCTGTGATTGGTGGGAAGGTATTTACAGCTCATGGAGGTCTTTTCCGTGATGTATCAACCTTTCTCTCTAATAAACAAGAACGAAGCAGAAAGCGCAAGCGATCTCAGAAACAGCAAGCGGATAGTAATGTTCTGGAGAGTGAAGGCAGATCTGAGTGCTTGCCCCTTGGCTCATTGAAGGATTTACTCAAAGTGAAAAGGCGTGTTATAAATCCTCCTGCTGCAGGTTCAAACTTGGTTCCTGGTGACATTCTTTGGTCAGATCCATCGATTGATAACGGACTCTTTCTTAACAAAGAGAATGGCATTGGTTTGTTGTGGGGTCCTGACTGCACCGCAAAGTTCCTGCAAGACAATGATCTAAAGGTTAGATGATCTGTTTATGTCTGTTACTCTTTCAGCATTATGATGTTTTTTCTTTATATGACAGTTGATCATCAGAGGGAAGGAAGCCCCTCACGAAAGGGCAAAACGGGATGGTCTTCCACCAATGGACGAAGGATACGCAAATGACCATGAAGGCCTTATAACTTTGTTCAGTGCTCCTGATCATCCTCAGTTTCAGGTATGCTCTATTTGGATTTTGTATGGGCTATCTTCAACATTTAGTAAGATATTGCAATTCAGCAAATTGCCATCTTAGCTTATACATGTTATGACTTCCGTTTGAGTTTCAGTTCAAAGCTGAATACTTTGTATTGTATGTAGGATACAGAGGAGAGGCACAACAACAAAGGTGCCTACATAATCTTACAAATCCCAGAATGTGAAGAACCTGAAATTCATGTGTTTGAAGCAGTATCTCCGAGACCAAAGGTAGTTGTACAGTTAATGACATAATACTAATCTTGATCTCTATTAGTGTATCCCTGATATGTTCTGAGCTTTGACATTCACAGGCTGAGGCGTACTACGACTATAAAAGCATAATTCATTCAAGGGGAAATTCAGTACACAACAATAGTGTTGATTCACCATTCTCAACGCCTGATGATGACAAAGATAGTTTACTATCCTCTGAGAATGTAGAATATAAATCCATGGATCTCTCTGAATCGATGGAAGTTGATGAAAGAGATGATGACCGTTCGAAGTGCTCATATTCTACAACTGATGAAGTTACAGCTTTTGGCACTCTAGCAGCTACTGATAGGGATATTGTTGATTCTTCAGAAAAGTCTGAAGATGGTTCCAAAGAAGATGACCGTTCCAAGACTGCAGAGATTAGTAAAGATTTATCTAAACCAGAATCTCCCAGCAGAGCACAAACTGTGTTTGAAGCTCCTAATGTCATTGATATGGAACCGCCACTAGCTTGTAAACTTCATGTGCTTGATTCTGGAAACTCCGTAGAGCCAATAGCATTTGATGAAATTGCTGGCGAATCTGAATCCAGAAACGGAGAAGAAAATGATGTAGAAGCCCCCAACTCTTGCAAGATTTCGGAAGAGAAAGAGGAAAAAGCAAGAAAGAGCGACTCTCTTGAGGTGTCAAATAATGAAACTGAAGAAGAGGCTCCAAGAGAAGATGACTGCTGTGATGCAGCAATGGAAGTAGAAATCACATATGATGAGAATCCTGAAAGTGCAGTAACTGAAATCATAGGGAACGATATAGCTGAATGTCCGACTGACAGGAACAGAGACATAGCCACCGATGGTGCTGAGAAGTCGGAACTTTCAACCAGCAAACTCAATTATTCAGAGCACAATGAAGATATGGTTGAACTTAGTGTGGAAGACATAGCCACCAATGGCACTGATTCTGATCCAGGTACTCTAAATGGTGGGGTCATCGCAGATTGTACCAGCTTGTCTAAATGTCTAATCAGCAAGCCAGGTGGGTCTGAGCCAGTGGTGGGTCATGATAACCTTACAAATGATACGAAATCTTCTCGTGACAAGGATCATGGAGAGCCTGCAGATAAGTCAGGGAGAGTAGTAAAATTGGTTACGTATTCTAAGCGTAAGTCATCTGACAAAAAACAAATGGTTGATTCTAGTGAAGATCTACAGCAGAAAACCAACGAGGCTGCTCTTGACAAGTCGCACTTGGTTCCAAGAGATATGGACTCTTGAAGTCTTATTTTCTTTCCAGTAGAGGTAAATCCAATCTCTCTTCCAGACCTATCCAGGCACCCCTATGTTACTGTTAAGGTCTGTTTTTTCACGTTAGGTGGTTCTGTTTGATCTGATTTTATTTACTTGTGGTTTACAGGTTTCGCAACATTTCATTTCCAAGACGGGTATCTTCTTTCCGTGAGCAAGACTTCAATATGATTGATATACTCCAAAGTCCATAGCTTTGTCACACACGTCTTGAGTTTTGGTTGTATCCTCAAAAGCCAATGTACAGGGACCATTATAGCCTAGCTTGCCAAATCCATCTTTGCTAATTCAAGTTTAGATGTTAGATAGTTTGATTAGTCGGTAGGAGATAATGTGGTATGTGTAAACCTGATTATCTATCTATCTGTTCTTGAATTTAGTTTTCTCAGTTAAATTTTTGCTGTACTTCAAGATTTTGGTAAAGTGGATCTTTTGTAATTTTGTTTTCTATATTTAAGAAATAAATGGTCTTTTATCATCGTTGCCGACTTTGAACCAAAACCGGACTGTTTTTCATGAAAGTTAATCCATCTTAAACTTAGCACAAAAGTGGTAGTCCAAGAGGGAATTGAAACGTAACCTCTCTATTTCATAGTAGTTTTTCCTCAGCGAAACGAAACATGCTCACTGCTATCTTATTGTTATCATCAATAGGAGAGAGAATCTATGTTAGTTCATGTATTGTTTCTTGAGGGAATTTTAACTTTATATCGATTAGATCTTTTCACCGTGGTACGTGCGGTTTATGTATTTTAATTTAATTTCTATTAACTACGTAAATGGCTTTGTTTGATTATATTTATTTTTTAATAATTTTCCTTAGTTTTATAATTTCTGTTTTCTTTCTTTTCAGTATTTTTGGAGTATAACTAACTTAGTTTTTTTTTATTTTACTTTATACCATATAAAAATTATTTTCATAAAACTGTAACTTTATTTTTTAATTTTCACATAATTTAGTGATAAAGTTATGATATCAAAAAAGTTTTACTTACTTTATCTATAATCTTTGAAAATAAATTATTATATATTGTAATTATTTTAATCAATATAGGTAAAACGGGTAAATAATTTATAATCTTACATTCAAAACTTAAAACGTTTATCTTTGCGAAACAAATGTAAAATTTGAAATTACCATCTTTGTATAACTGTAGAAGTAACTTTACCATATATTTTGTATTCTAAAATGAGTTTACAATTTATGTACAAACATTAACTTCCCTTTTTATTAACATTGAGTCATTACAATATTATTAAAAATATTTTCTATTGGATCTTTAACTTCTATGATTACTATTTACAATAATAAGGAAAAATGAACATGCTTAATGTTTAAGAGATATTCAAAATATGTTTGCAGTTTTAATTTGTATCCTGATCTAATAACATTATTCTCATATATAATTTCACAACCTTTTCATTTGCTATAAAGTATAATATAATCTTGTAGTATTTTTCATTCATAAATATATTTATTATATATTTCTATAAGAGGAGAGCAGTCTCTAGCGTATTTACAAAAGCTATAAGACAAATTCTTATCAAAAATCGTTATTACTATGTAAATTAAGTTAATATCTTGAATTCAACATTTGACTTGGAATATGTCTCTACATGTAATGATATAAAATTATAATATGGCAATATGTCAATGTACATGAGAGAGAATAAGTCATTTATCACTCTAAGTATATCATCAATTTAAAATTTTTAATCTTTTAGTTATATTTAGTATTTTAAAATTTGATCCAGATCTGTGCTTTTATTGAGCTATTGCCGCGCTAGCAAGTGAAGAAAGAAAAAAGGATCTGAGATGGCAATTACAGAGTAGAAGATTAGTGAAATATAAAAAAAAGAGGCTTTAATTTTCATGCTGGCTATTGAATTATTTGGAATATAAATAAGAAGCTTTATCTTAGTAGATCTACGTGTAATTATATTTGGATTATAAAAAAAACCCAAATAAGTGAGTTGACATACATAAATTAAAATATTAATAAAATGAAAAAAAACATTTGCTAGTATACTTAGTATTCAATAAATAAATAAATAAATATTCAAAATTAACAAACACGTGCGTGCTCAAAATTTTATCTTCCACAATTTATTCATGTTTTTATATTTGAGCATTTGTTCTCAATTAGTTTGTCACTTTTTTCTCTTTTTTGGCACAAATATTTCTTAAACTAAGTTACATTAGCTCTATAAATTCAGTTTCATAATCTCATATCATCATTTAATTGATGTAACGAATATTTTTTAAACGTCAGTAAACCAATATTCCTCACTATGAAAAGAAAAAAAAACTAAATGTTACTTTGACAAAAAAAAAACTAAATGTTAATACCAATTTTAAAAGATGGGAAAATTGCCAAATATGACTCAAAACTTGATTTGAAATGCAAAAGTAAACCCAAACTTGAATCAAATGCAAAAGTAACTTAAAAGGCTATTGAAATTACAACCAACCCCTTGTGAACAAACAAAAAAAAGGTATTTTTTTTTTACGTTTCTAACCCTCGCAAGTCGTCTGCCCAGACGACTTTCAACTAAGTCGTCCAGAAGACTTAATTTAAAGTCGTCTAGGACAGTTTTTCTTAAAAATAATTTACAAATTGTGTAATAAATATCTTGATAAATGAAAAATTGGGATTATGTAATTAACATGTGTCTTAAGAGATATAAATTAAGATATAACAAAAATCAGTTGTTTTCAGCATAGATGAGTGAAAGTAGTGAGTCATGATATTCTTTAGTTTAGGTTTCACCAATCGAGACGACTTAATTTAAAGTCGTCTAGGAGAGTTTTTCTTAAAAATAATTTAAAAATTGTGTAATAAATATCTTGATAAATGAAAAATTGGGATTATGTAATTAACATGTGTCTTAAGAGATATAAATTAAGATATAACAAAAATCAGTTGTTTTCAACATAGATGAGTGAAAGTAGTGAGTCATGATATTCTTTAGTTTAGGTTTCACCAATATATGTTGTAGTATTGTATGTGTTTCTTAGGGTTAGATTTTCGAAAGCATAAATGTTTTTTTGAAAAATTAAAAATTTACCTAAGTGTGTTTATTTCTGTGTATAGTAAACACTATTTAAGTATAATTTGATTTTATAACGTGGTTAGTTAGTTAATTTAGTCAATTTAGTTTAGGATTTAGGGTCTGGACAACTGAAATATCAGTCGTCTAGTAAATAATTTTACACATACGACTTACTTGTAAGTCGTACTAATATTCCCACCTAAAATTTTAAAAAAATTATTTTCCCGCTTGAATAATTTAAACCAGACAACTTACTTGTAAGTCTTCTGGACGACTTACTTGTAAGTCTTCTGGACGACTTACTTGTAAGTCTTCTGGACGACTTACTTGTAAGTCTTCTGGACGACTTACTTGTAAGTCTTCTGGACGACTTAGTTATAAGTCTTCTGGACGACTTACTTCTAAGTCTTCTGGACCACTTACTTCTAAGTCTTCTGGACGACTTACTTGTAAGTCTTCTCGAAAGTCTTCTATTTTAGTTTCCCGCTAGAAATATTTTAGTTTCCCGCTAAAATTATTAAAGTCTCCTGGACAACTTACATTTCAGTCATCTGAATCAAAAATATTTAACCTAATTTTTTTTTTCCTTATAAAAATAAAAATATACACATTCTCTCTCCTACTCTCAAATGTCTGCAACAAAAAATGTAATGTTAATCTTTCTAGAACTCTCCAATCTCTCTATAATCTCTTTGGACTTATAAACACCAAACTTTATATCAATTTATTGTTTTTGTCTCATGTCTTTCTCATTAACTTATCTTGTTTTGTAGGTTTTTCATCACATGATTCTCATATTCCACTCATTTAAAGATAGATCTATTAACTTTATATGAATTTTTCAGTTATGTCTCATGTTTTTCTCACTAATCTATCTTTTTTTTGCAGGTTTTTAATCAGATGGTTCTCATCTTCATTTGGATGGATGTTATGTTTTCTATAAAAGTATATATATATATATATATATATATATATATATATATATATATATATATATATATATATATATATATATATATATATCTAATCTTTCACTCATTTTCTGTGTGTTTTAAGCCATTTGAAGGTTTTTTGATATGCAGGTTTTTCAGATCTGGGCTTGAAATGCAGGTTTTTCAGATCTGGAAGTCTTCTGGACGACTTACTTGTAAGCCTTTTGGACGACTGACTTGTAAGTCTTCTGGACGACTTACGTGTAAGTCTTCTGGACGACTTACTTGTAAGTCTTCTGGACGACTTACTTGTAAGTCTTCTGGACGACTTACTTGTAAGTCTTCTGGACGACTTACTTGTAAGTCTTCTGGACGACTTACTTGTAAGTCTTCTCGAAAGACTTCTGGGACGGCTTACCTGGAAGTCGTCTGGATTTCCTGTAAGTCATCTGGAATTCCTGTAAGTCATCTGGAATTCTTGTAAGTCATCTGGAATTCCTGTAAGTCGTCTGGAAGTTGTCTGGACTTTCTGAAAGTTTTCTGACGCTGTCTTCTTTCATATCAAGTGGAGTCAAAGCTTGTCTTTGTAAAGGAATGATCTATTATAGTTTTGTAAAATCAGTTCCCAAGATGTAATATATGTGCTAACAATGTGTTTACATACGTACAAATCAATGAAATAGTAGACTTCAGTAGCTTTTTTCATCTTTTGGATCTCCCATATGCAATAATAAATTACAATGTCCTTTCTGCTCATCTTAATAAACAAGAATGTTGGTAGCCTCGTATTGATACAACATTTTAAGAAGAATTTTAACCTTTCTTCCAACAAATCATCATTGGTGTTAAAGCATATTACATGTTTTACAAGGTTGTGTTGAAAAACTTAGTCAAATTTAGTAAAATTAAGGGAGAAAAATTATTTTGAAAATATGAGATTTACATATCATGAAGTTATTTAACACTTTTAAAAATACAAGTAATTCAAAAAATATTTTTATCACTTTATTCAACCAAGAAAATTTAGTAAAATTCACAGAAGATCAAACATTACGGGATTTGATCAAATATTTTTATCACTCTATTCAACCAAGAAAACTTAGTAAAATTCAAAGAAGA